ACGGCTTAAATGTGAAATCCATCGTCAGTCACATGTGCCTGACACGGCTTAAATGTGAAAATCATTGTCAGTCACATGTGACTGACATGTCATTAACGTGAAATTTATCGTCAGTCACATGTGTCTGACACGGCTTAAATGTGAAATTCATCGTCAGTCACATGTGACTGACACGGCTTGAATGTGAAATTCATCGTCAGTCACATGTGACTGACACGGCTTGAATGTGAAATTCATCGTCAGTCACATGTGACTGACACGGCTTAAATGTGAAATTCATCGTCAGTCACATGTGACTGACAAGATCTGAGTGGAAATTCCTTGTCAGTCACATGTGACTGATGTAATACTCAACGTGTTAAAAAGAATATTATCTTCATGGTTAGTCATACCAACCATGCACAAAGAAATTGAACAAAATAAAAAAACAATTTACAATTTCAATAACTAAACAAATAGGAATTCTATGACTGTATTTTCTTTTTGTTTTTTAACTAATTAGGTCAGACAACTAAAGCGCCATGCACAAATTCATTTGATGATAGAAACAAACAAACAAAAAAATAAATAAATAAATACACAAATTAAGGCTTTTTATCTAATTATATACTGCTGCATTGCATGCAATTTATACTGTTTTTTTGTTTTTGTTTTTTTAATAGAACTGTAATATCTTCTTTCTGTATAAATGGTATTTGTGTAAAAAATATACTAGCTATGACCATCATTCTATAATAAAAATAAAAAAACTAGACGTTTGGGATAAGATTGCTGATAAGATGAGAGCAGATGATACGTTTAACTATCAGTCGATTATTTTTGAAAATGATTGATGTGTCATTTTATGTAAAAAAAAAAAAAAAGAAGAAAAAAAACATCTGTATAATGATTATTTGTATCTCAAGAAAGATGTTTTGTTCAAATTTATATTATACAAAATAATTTTCTTTGAATTATATTTATATATTTATATATATACTTACGAACTCCTGTAATCTTGACCATTGAATATATCACCAGGATCGGATTTTCTAATTTCATTTTCTCTTGCTGCTGCTGTAACTGATTTCCACACTGTATTCTTCACTCTAACAAAAACACAATCATTTCTTTGACTATTCTTCTTCTTCTTCTTCTTTCATGTTTTTTTGTTTTTTGTTTGTTTGTTTCTTATATAAATAATTATAAAAATTATAAGAATGATTTTAGTAAATATTTTACTTACGCTTTTACAGTAACATCAAGAAGCAATACTGCAGATGGAATAAGTATAAGACCTAACCAAAATACAGGTGATGTGAACAACATTCTGTCATTACCCAGCATGACAGCTCCAACATTTAATACAGGCCAAAAATTACTGTAAACAATTAGTAATATTAAAGGTTATCATTTGTTATATATCATTCTTTTTAAATATATTACATAAATAACAAAGTTACCTGTAAATTAGAATAAATAAGAACCAAAGTATAATAGATCCCCACGTTGCTGCATGAGTGACCCATGTCCATGAATTTATTATTAATCCAGCTTTACCACAAACTGTTACTACAACATACTAACGAATCAAATTAATTTCACTGATAAATATAATTATAAACAATATTTATTTATACTTACAGTATAAACGAAATTTCCTAACAAAAGATAACCCCCATCTCTACCATGAGACCATACGACGTCTTGTTTGAGAGCCATGAGTGGTAACCAATAAAGTAAAGATGAATGAATTAAGGCATTTATTATCCATACCCAAAATACCTATGAAAATATAAAAATCATATTTTACAGTCAAACGTTAAAAAAAAAAAAAAAAACCCCATTATCATTCAATTTATACAATTAATACATACTTTAATATTAAATGATGATTCTCCAGTATTTTTGGTTGCATACAATCCTGGATGAGCTAAGTGTGTTTCTGCTGAACAAACTTTATCAAAAAGACCCATAGCCAATGGAGGTGCAGCCGTAAATACCTGTAATTAAATATTATAAATCTTACTATCTATATATAACATTCATTTCATTTATTAAATAAATCAATAATTATTGTTATATAAAACTTACAACATTATAAAGACCAATAGACCATCTCTCAAAAAGTATTTGTCCGGACCAGCCAGAATATATAGCAAACCATAACTCAATCACATATAAACATATATTTTTATAAAACGAATATAGAATTAATTTACACATTCTACTGTAATTCCAAGAACCATGAACGAATAATAAACGTTTCAAAAAACGAAATTGTGCGATGGAATAATCGGATGCACAGGCTGCTTGTAAACCCTCCACACCAGATATTCCTAATTTGAACAATATTATTATTATTCCAATTAGATTATATATATATATATCATTTTTAATTATATAATAAATGTGTATTATGTTTTATTTTACATACCAACGCCTATGTGAGCTTTCTGAATCATTGCTACATCATTTGCACCATCACCAATTGCAAGTGTCACAGCTTTCTTATTATTTGTTATGAGATCAACAACCTGGTAATACTCTGACATATTAATAATCAAAACTTTGTATATTATAACTAATTTATAATGAAATCATAACCTCAATCATTTAATCGAAAATAATCAAAATTACCTCGGCTTTTTGCATCGGTGAAACTCTACAACAAATAACAACCTTGCATGCCGAACATAAATCTAAAAAATCCATTCTAATATCGCACGACAATGCAAAATCCAAAGTATTTCCATCAATTATCAAAGCAACTTCATTCTGTCGTTTCAAATCAACCCCAAAATCTTGGCAGCGTTGTGTAATAACTTCTCTTGTTTTCTGTAATTAAAATTGATTTTGATTTTGATTTTTTTTTTTTTTTAACAAAACTTTCTATAATTCTTTAAAATGTATTAGAGAATGAAATTGATTTACATCTAATGAAGATTCATTGATGATATATAAAGGCATTCCATGTGTGATTAATCTGCAAGAATAACCAATATTGATTGCTGTTTCTTGTTTATCACCAGTCAACACCCAAACATTAATATCAGCTCGAAGTAAAGCTTGTATTGTTTCTGGAACCTAAAACGATCAAAGTATACAAGTTAAATTCGTCATATATCTTTATCTTAATATATATAAATTACGTGTGTGTCACGTTGTTTGTCCGCAATGGACTTCCTAAACTACTGAACCGATTTGAATAAAATTTTGCAAACTGTGTGCAGTTTCATTCAACTTGAAAGATAGGATTAGTTTATATCCTCAATTTATAATCGCAATATTATTTTATTAATCGCAAATTATGACTTAAAGACGTGTGTATCGGACTGATTGTAGTAAATATATAAGATCACAATGCTTACTTCATCTTGTAATTGATCTTCAATGGCTGTTGCACCTAATAAAGTTAAATTGTTTTCAATGAGATCTGCTGCATGATCGAGTTTACTTTCACGATTTGTCATGCTGATTGATGCATTATGATAAGTGTCACGCCATCTCTGATAAATGATAATACAAAGTATTATTATTTTTTTTTTTTTTTTTAAATTAAAATACAATAAAATGTGTATTTGAAAATATACAGTAATTCAATTTACCTGATACAAATTTTCAGGTACTTCGGTAGAAGCAAAACAAAGAGTTCTTAAACCATCTGTTGCAAACGTTTCTAAATGTTCCAAAGTTGCTTCACGAAAATCATCTTCTGATTCAGTATCATCCGGTGATTTTGGATTTAATCTTTCATAAATTACAGAATCAGCTCCTTTACATAAAAGTTTAATTTGTCCTGTTGGCGTTTTAACTATTACAGACATTCTTTTTCTAGCTGACGTAAATTCTATTACGTTTAATATTTCATATCTTAATCTTTCACCTAAGGCGATTATTTCCACGTATGCAGGTGTTCTAGTATCGAATATATAATTATATTTACGTGCGCCATCAACTAGTGCTCGTTCATCTACAAAAAAAAAAGAGAAACATATTAATAAGAAAGATTGTTCAATTAAAATTATTAATTTTTCAATGATTAATATTATGAAAGTATGAAAAAGATGATACCTGGTGATGCTGCATGATAAATTATATTGTCATCTATTTTTTCAGGAATGACTGTATGACAAACTGACAACATTATCATAAAATCATGCAATATGGATGCATGATTATATTTCTTTTTATCAGCAGGACGAGATGAACCTTTGTTTGCCCTTCCTTCAAGAATATCTTTAACTAATTCACTATTACTAGCACCTGGACTATCGATATTACCATTTGGTGGAATGGGAAGGCTGTGGAATCGTTTCTTATGTAAATATTAATAATAAAATATTGTTAGTTGAAAATAAATTGTAAAAAGAAGAAAAAGAAGAAGAAGAAGAAGAAAGAAAACAAACAAACAAATACAATTTCTTTTTCATATATATATATATATAACTCACTCATATAATCTGCCACCAACAGAACATCTTTTAAATTCCATAACATTTCTCGTAAGTGTACCAGTTTTATCTGTGAACACATAATTAACCATTCCAAGTTCTTCATTGAGATTACTTGTACGAGCCATTGCTGGTGTATCAGATTCAGCATGATACATTTCAATATCCATGTTAATAAACGTTGCTTGAACAAATCTAACTACTTCTAATGTAACTTGCAGTGAAATTGGAATCAAGTTGTTGAACAGTATGATGAATGTTAGAAGATTAAAAATGAAGTTCTTTGTCATCTCCTCTGAAACATATATATATATATATATAAATAAGAGAAAGTAAGAATACATGTAAATTTATAAAATAAAAATTGATAGATTTTAATGTGAATGTGTGTGTGTTTACCATTTAAACCCAAATACCAAAGTCCTGTACTATTTGCATTTGTCCATATAACATTGAATATTGCAGAAAGAAGGCACAACAAAAGTAACATAAAGAATAACATGAGAATTTGTGTATTAGTCAGTCGATCTAACGTAGATCTTTTCAATGGTGCAGTTGATGTATTATTTTGCATAAGTTTAGTATCATGGCCGGTGTATATTACCACACCAAATATCCATTTTGTATTTCTTAACATAGCCCCTCGCAATAATAATTGATCAGGTCCTAAAGCTACACTCCTGTAATAAACAAAAATCAACTAGTAAATTGTTATACAAACAAAGTTATATAATATTTTATTGTTACTTACTGTTTGTTAGTTTCTCGAAGAACACCATGAAATTCGTATAAGTGTCTATTAGGTGGTTCACATTGTATATTAGCACGAAAATTCATTAATTCAACTGTATCCAAAAGAATAGCTGTATCAGTGTGTGCTTGTCTAATTTTCAAATTTGTTTCTCCATCCAAATTGGCTGTTTCTATGAACGACATACCCTGTGGCTCTGATGATGATAACAAGATCAAATCAGCAGGGAAGAAATTGTTGTTGTGGACCTGGTTATGGAGAAAAAAACAAACAAACAAAATAGATTACAACAGGAAGATGTTATTTAACGTTTATTATCACAATGATATAATCTTAATGCAAATATAGGGGTTAACCTTAACAACATCTCCAACAGCAATGTTACGCCATTGAATCCATTGCCATCGTCCATCTCGTAAAACTTCTACTTCTCGCATATTAATCTCATCATCTGCTCTATGCCTTTTCTATTAAAAAAAAAACATATATATATATATAGTTTATAATTTATAATAAAATTGAAACTTAGTTTGATAAACTTACAATATCTTCAACGATTTCTTTTAATGCTGAAACACTCAAAATGAATATCAATGGGACCAAAGTTGTGTAACGTCCTGTTGGTGATACATCTGGTATTTGCTGTAATAAAAAATATTATTAATTAGTATGCTTAATGATTATCATATAAGAAACTTATTATAGTAACATAAATAAGCATTGATATAAATAGCAACGTTAATTAACAGTAAGAACATAATTGAAGTGTTTAATTAACAAGATAAGTGTTTGATTTTATAAACAAATAGGTCAAATAAAATGAAAACAAAATTAACATGCATCTAATTTCAATAATTAGCTTTGTCATTTTAATTAATGATTAATTATCAATAAGGTAATGCATAAGATCATCTTTACCTGCATAATTGCAATGAAGAGGAAGAAACAATTACTATATCGACGAAATTGTTCAAAAAGGAACATGGGTATGAAAGAAAGTATGGAATATTTGGCCGTGGTGATGTGATTATTTTTATATTTGACTGGTTGATGAGGTGCATTGACAAAAACCACTCTATCATCTCCATCATCGTATGGGTGGGAGGATGGATCTTCACCTTGTGATTCCCCATTTTCCGCTCTTATTGGCCCTATTGTTGTTATAAATAATTATTATTATTAATATCTTGCTCGAACAAAGAAGGGAGGAAGGAAGGAAGAAAGGAAGGAAGGAAAGAAGGAAGGAAGGGGGATATTATTATTTATATTTATATATTTAGAAACAACAAATTGATTAAAGCCATACGACAAGTAGATTATTTTCAATTTATCATGGTAACGCATTATTTGACTTAATGCAACCAATTTTCTACAATGTTATTTTATCTTTTATTCTTTTATAAGAAGAACAGTTTGATCATTTTCTCTCGTTAACCATATAAATGGCAATTGCATAGGTTCACACGTATTTTCACGTTTAATATATACACACACATATATATATGAAGCAAAAAAAATGCAAGTAAATTCATCAAAACAACAAGATTATCTCAAACTATTACAAGATTCAAATCATTTTATACATTAATATTAATAACTTTATAAATAATAAAAATTACATGCTACTATAAATATGTGTGAATTCATTTAATTATAAAAATTCTGTCTTTGCAATTGCAAATATAATTACGACTTACTGTTCTGATCGTGCAAGTAAAGGTATATACGAGATCTGAGTTCGTTGAACCATTGCACCAGCTTTGTACTCGTAATATCCATGACGGCCGGTTATTTGTCTCTCTCTCTCTCTCTCTCTCTTTCTTTCTTTCACAGCATCCTTCTTGTTTCTTGATTACGATCTCTACATGCATAAAATGCAATAGTGTTCGAGAACAAGGACTTACGAATACAATAAAATTAGATGTAGTGAAACACTGTTATCTATTTTCTTCTATCTCTCTTTCTCTCTCACATACAGACACTTTCTTTCTTCTGTCTCTCTTTCCCTCTCTCTCACTCTCACTCTCACTTTCTTCTAATAAACACGAAGTCAATTTTCTTGATAACTGATTACATCAAACAAACGTAAATCACTTGAAATGTATCTTGATGAACTAGAAAATGTTTCTATTACTTCTTTTTTTTATCTCTCTTTCTCTTATTTACAAGAAAAAACTAATAAAACATCATCGGATTACAAATTCGAATCTGATAATGGAGATTTGGATGATTACTGTATCTTGTTCCGATAAACACGACAAACAAAATCCTTTATCTTCTAAAAAAGAAGATAACATTGCAAGATTATCGATATAAATAAAATGTGTAACTATATTTATTTTATAACAATTATTTTTTAAATCACTTAACACAACACAAACTCGTAGAATGAAAAAGATCGTCCCTCTTGTTATGATGTACTAAAATGACATCTGATTGGTCGTAACGTTTGGGGTTAGATTCGCGACGATCATCGATTTTTACAAATCGATAATCGATATTTCGATAATTTTAACGCGGCATATTTTGAAATTTTTTTAATATTAAATCATAAAATATGGAAATAAAAAATTGATGATCGTAAAGAAAATTCGTATTTTTAAATATTATTAATTTAATTTTACAAAAAGAAACTAACCCCAAATATCACCATATTACAAATTCGAATCTGATAATAAAGATTTGATGATTACATCTTCTAAAATGAAAAAGATCGTCCCTCTTGTTATGATTTACTAAAGTGACATTTGATTGGTCATAACGTTTGGGGTTAGATTCGCGACGATCATCGATTTTTACAAATCGATAATCGATATTTCGATAATCTTACGCGGCAAATTTTGAAACTCTTTTAATATTATATCATTAAATATGGGAATGAAAAATTTATGATCGTAAGGGTAATTTGTTTTTTTTTTTAAATATTATTATCTATATATATATATAGATAGATAATAATAATGTATTATATATATGAAGTAAAACGAGCTGCGATATATCTAGCAATTTGGAATGCCTCTACGATCGATCCAAGGTCGCATTACTCCACAGAGGCATAACAAGCGTACACATACACCCCTTTTATATACTCGGAAAGACGTTATACTTCGTAGAACAATTTGCATCCCTGAGAAAGGCGTGGTCGCTAATAACACCCTTTTTACAAGCTTATCAACTTTGACTTGTCAAATACGATTAATGATAACTCGATAAGGATATTACATTTCAAAAGAAAAGAAAAACCTTTATCTTCTTTTCAACGAACTACAAATATATCATTCGAATGCATGCACGCACGTATGATTAACTGCAATTTACTCCTGTCGTCCTAATTCGAATGCGTGTCATTTTGCTTGGACACGAATGATCGTTCAGCACGAAGATAAGATAAATGTTCATCTAATAACATAAGAGATCGGAACACAGATGACGTATGAAACTATCAGAGAAAATCATCCCGAAATCAAATTAACCCGATGTGTATGACCGATGCCGCCAAAGACTATGACGTACTTTTCAAATGACGCCATTATTCATTTAAAAGAACATTAAATTATACTCGCGAAATATGAACTTCGTATATATATATATCTTTCTCTCTCTCTGTTGATTAAACATATTATGGAACTGCATAATACTATTTTGTATATATCCTTGATGAACTTACATATACTCTTTGATAACGCATTTCCTTTTGAAATACCACACACACACTACACAACTTCCATTACTATATATATATATACAACCACTTAATCCGTTTCATAATCGGATACAGTAACGTTTCAATTAATGAAATTGATATTCAAACGTGCTATTGAAATTATTTATTCAATTGAAATCTTATTAATAGTATTAAATCCGATTAATATTCATTACATGAAACGTTAAACGAAATAACGTGATCAAGATACATTATCAAAGTGTTTTACATCTTCTGAATGTTTATGGATATAAAAATTCAAAAAAGTAAACAATTTAAATGACAATAACATTGAAATAAAATAAAAGATGAAAATGGGTTTAGAAAACTCGTAGAAATCTTGCGATCGATCTCAAACCTTTCGTTTAGCTTCACGGTCACGGCCTCGCTTGAAAGGTGGCAGAGTACTCTCTTCGTGTTTCACAAACACACACCCACGTTGGATGCACTCTAATGCACTTGCTTGCTTTACTCACTCATTCCCACTCTCTCTCTCTCTCTCTCTCTTTCTACCTACCTATCTATCTATCTATATATATATATATCTATATTTACCTCCCACAAAAGATAATTATTCGTACGGAACGAGTTGACAGATAGTTTATCACAAACAAAACAACTAAATAACAATTGGTTTACGTCATCCAATAGACACCGGAAGAAGAAAACTTATGAAATATTCGATGATGTCACACACACCCCTGTTTGTATGATGATCCGACGTACACGCGTGCACGTGTGTCACGCACTATTAAATTTGCCGGAAAAGATTTGGTAAATGTATGTGAGAGAAAGAGAGAGACAGAGAGAGAGAGAGAGAGGGAGGAAGGGGGTTAAGGTGGAAGGAAGGAAGGAAGAAAGATGTCCGATTTAAACGACAAGGCTCGAATAATTCAATTAATTTGTCATACGTGAATTAACTTCTTAAGATTATAATATCGAATAGGTTGGATAATAAAAATGCACGAGATTGCCGCCTCCCGTTTCTGTAAAGACTGCTCGAACGTTTCCTCTTCCTCCTCCTCCTCCTCCTCCTCCTACATCTCCTCTTTTAGTCACGGTTTATGCACCATATAGAATGAACACCGCAACGATGATACTAACGCATACCTGTACATTTTTATTAAAGTGCCCTCTATTATAATTACAATCAAATGATTGGAAGATAATTCGTTGATTTTAATTGGTTATTAATTAATTCGAACGACGAATCAGAAATGCGAAATGTTATATATGCATTGATATATATAAAATCGTATAAAGGATTGTTTTGAATAGAACGCGTGACGTGATTGGTCGATCTTTCTCACATTTATCAACGTTAAATCAATTATTATTTCCAAGAATAAATTAAACAATAAATTAAAGAAAAGCTATAATATGAGAAAGAGATAATTAATTATCGTATACTGTAATTAATCAATTATGACATTTTCTACGATTTAATATAATGCATACAGGGACTACCGTGAAGACGAGCCAGCCCTGCGGATTGATGAACGCGCATGCGCTTAATGTAGGCAACAAGTTGGTGTCAGCACCGGGCTTTTACCCCTTCCCCTACAGTTTTTACTTACACTATTACATTTAAAATAATACCGTGTGTATGTATATGTGTTGCGAGCAGTATGACGTCGATAAACACACAAGCAAACAAATGCCCAAAACCGATAGGCCAAGGACACGCTGCTTCCAAGCGTCGACTATTATGCGCGGGAGCCTTGAAATCAATTAATTCAGGAATATCAAATTCACGAAAGATAAAATAATGAATTAATTATGATAAAATAAATAACGCGATCAAATTGATCTATTATTAATATCAATATTCAAAAATATATGTATAATTCTCTACTGTATATTAAATAAAAAATTATATAAAACAAATTAGCTAACAAGAGTTGTTTATCAATAATAAATTTCTCGTTAAGAAGAGCTAGTATTACAAAGTATTAATTATTTGTTAAAGAAATATTCTTAGATTTTATATTTACAAGATGTTATTTAACAACACGTAATTGCTTATCTCGAGGAAAACTAGTCGTAATTAAGGATTATCTTGGATATTAGAAAATCTTGCAATTATCGTGTGCAATCATGCTTCTTCATTCGATAGGCCCATTATTTTTGTAGACATATATATAAATCATACATAAGAATCGATAGGCTTTCGTTCAACAAGTGTACATTTATTTAACGAGGAAACATCGTGCCTGGTTGTGCTCTTTAAACCTCCATATTTCTTTTTTTTTTTCTGTTTCGATCAAGCGATTAAAATTTATGAAGCTTAGTCAATAAAATATGCAAACAATTTCGATATTATACTACGTTGTTGTTGTTGTTTAGTTAAAAATACCTCAAATATAATAAATATGATACAAATGATTTTATTTTTAATTATCGCAACAACAAAAATTGATATAATATAGTGAAATTGTTTGAAAATTAATGCAACATCAAAGATATCTACCTGTCGTAGGCGTAAACATGGATGCGCCATTAATGGCTTGCACTCTATTTAAAAGATGCAAACGATAATAATCTTTGATATATAACGAACGTCACACGTCTAACAATGACCTAATAAACAAGTCTATTCCATACGAAACTCATTTCCATTTCTTGTATTTTAAATTTTTCTTCTTTTATATTATATCAAATATTTCGACACATTTATGATAAGAATTTCAAGTCAATAACGGTACTGTATCAACAGTCAAATGAGTCAATAATAGTACTGTATCAAATCAAATATTTTATATTCATCGACATTTTGATACCTAAAATAATTTATTTAAATATATTATTATTATTATTATTGTTTCGTATGAAATAGAAATGAATAATAAAGAAATAAAATTAAAAAAAAAAAAAAATGGTGTACCTTCAGAGTTTAACTCGGAAGCAGGTGTTTCCTGTAATTCGATGTGTTCCCGAGTCTTGCCTTTTCCACTGTGACGTAAAAGAGGATCCAGACGAAGGCCTATATTATCAACATTATCGATATTTCCTAAATCGATCGGGCTACCTATAATATACGGTCCGGCAGCAGATTGGTTAGGTTGATTGTCCTTTGGGGCTTCATCACTAATACGTGTGTTGTTACTGGTAGTTGGTGATGACAAAGAAGGGTTGTTACGGATTAAATTGCTGCTGTTATGTGGTGAGGTTCCATCCATGTGAGGAATGGATGAGAGATCTGGGGGTGTATATGGTCGCAATGGAACGGGACTGGGAACCCGGGGGTTCCCCCTGCCAGGTAGTTGCATTGAACGAGCTGGAGCCTAAAACATGCAACAAATGAAAAATAAAATTATACAAACATTTCATTTATTTTCATGACAAAACAATAATTATTCCTTCTATACGCATGTATAAGCAGAAAATAAAACTATGCTAAGCAATGTTTGTTTTTGTTTTAATTTCTATTCTAAATAATAATAAATAATTGCTAAAAAAAAAAAAAAAAATTATACTAAAATGTATTTAAAGAAGTTTTGATCAATCAAAGTAGAACACACCATTCCTAGAAACAGTTTTAGTTATTGTTTCTTTTCAGAATACGAATACCGCAAAGATGATGAATTTTAATGTAAAATTTAGCGGCCTTCGAAGCTAGCAGGTGAAAATAGAATGCGGAAACGTGACCACCACCACCACCACCACGAATGTGGCGATAGTGATCTTCTTCGTTCTAAATGCCACAACCGGTTGGTCGGCAGCTATTATTTTCATTTGGATGAGTGAACTAGAAACATGCATTGATGCTACAAAACACAATATGACTAAATTATTTTCAAAGCAATTATATTTTTTATTCTTGTAAACAAAGTTGATGTCAACAATATTGGAAAAAAAAAAAAAAGAAAGAAAGAAGAGTACATAGAAAAAAAGTTCATAGAGAAAAATAAATTGGACGTTGGTTGTCTGGGTCTGTTTCGTTAGGAAAAAAAAAAAAAAATATAAATCAATAAAAGAAAAAGTTACACATCATTTTTCTTTTTAAAAATTAATTATTTTTTCTAAACGTTATTATACTCTGTCATCATTTCCGTTTTCTAACGTTAATAATTAACGTTATGATATTATCGATAAGTGACACTTGGTGTGTACCTTTTGATGGAAGTGTTAACCAGCTAGCTAGACAAGTATATATATATACTTGTTCATATTATGTACATATTCATATATATATATCTTATCTTAATATATATAAATTACGTGTCACGTTGTTTGTCCGCAATGGACTCCTAAACTACTGAACCGATTTTAATCAAATTTTGCACACTGTGTGCAGTTTCATCCAACTTGAAAGATAGACAACAGATCTCTGTTAGTTAGATAAGAATAAAGATAAAATAAGACTTAAAGACGCGTGTATCGGACTGATTGTGAGCCACAGCAATACGTGGAGGGGCACCCCTAGTATATATGTATATATACACATGAATATATAATGTAAAATATATAAAATATATGTAGTATATGTAAGTAAATATATTCCCTAGTATATGTAAGTGCGTGCAATGATTTATTGCTTATTTACTTATGATCATTTTCTCAGAGTGAAGGTTTAAAACAAAAATACTAAATAAATAAACCATAAGAAGAAGAAGAAGAAGAAGAAGAAAGCTCGTAAAAGAAAAAAGACTCAGCTGTTCTAAGATCTCACATTGTAAATTGGAATAAGCAAAACTTGGAGAATAATACAAAAAACTTGAACGAAATGAGAGAAATAAAAAAAGATACAGAATAGCAAGAAATAAAATTGGATTCCACCGAAGAAAAGTTTAAAAAGAAGAAGAAGAAGGTTGTTGATGATGAATTTTTACTCACTACGAACAAACGATTTGTCCTAGATGTATTTTTAAGTGGCATTCTTCTTCCCATAAGTTTAACGATCCTGATCACATGAAACCCTATAACACTGTGTCGTAATTTCTATCGGTCCACCACCAATGACGCCAGCGTTCGGAAATAAGTCAATCTTTCCCTGTCGTGAGCCCTGCCAAACCAACTAAACTCAAAACACGTGGGCAAGTGTGTGTGTAAGAAATTATATCTTCAGAGAAAACGTATATGTAGATATAGATATAGATATAAATGTATGTACGTGATTGTTCATCGTTGTGTTGACTGGAGGATAAATTCATTTTTCTAATTAAAAATATGATTTTTATGTTATAAAAGAGTTAGAGAATTTCAATAATAAAAATTAGATTCCATACTTGAATAAATAAATGTCCCTTGTAAAAATGTTAAATCAGGATTATATATAAACCATATTATTTATAAACTTATATGATGATATTATTTACAATTGATATAAGTAGTTTAAAAAAAAAAAGGAAGGTTTATATTATTATATAAAAATTGTTGAATTTAAATAATAAAAATTAGATTCTATACTTGAATAAATATGTTCAATAAATAAATATAAAAATAAATAAAGGTCCCTTGTAAAAATGGTTAAATCAAGAATATAAACCGTGTTATATTTATAAACTTTTATAGGACGATATTTTTTTCTAATTGATATAAGACTAATTCGAATAATAATCTATTAAATAAATATTATGAATTAAAATATAACTATGATGTTATTATATAAAAAAAAAAAAAAAAAAAAAACAAGAACAAAGTTCAACTTCAAAAAATCAACTTACAAAGATTCTTACTTTTTAATTATATTTTATTTTAAAGAAGTAAACAAAAAATAGATAAGGTATTATCTTTAAATAATTTTAGAAACACACTTCCAACTTGTCACTAACACGTTTTCTACAAAACTAACATAATATATATAAACCAATATAATTCTTCCAAAAATTGATTAAGATTCTCAGTTTAATATTATCTTGAATTCTAACGAAGTAAACAAAGATATATAAGGTATTATCTTTCAATAATCTTAGTAATCCACGTTCAACTCTTCACTAACACGTTTTCCACAAAACTGACATAATCTGAAGCTACTTTTACTATTATGTTGTTGATCGTTGTGTAGTAGTAACCATTCGCTGCTGCTGCTGACTAACAAAAACCATAAAACAATTTCGAATAAATTTCGAATGAATCAACAAAGTAAAAAAAAAAAAAAAAAAAGAGTGGGGAGTTAACACTTGTATTTTTAGATAGAAAAATAAAATATTCAAACGTGAAACCTTATTGTTTTCTTCTTTTTTTGTTTTGTTTTGTAATAACAGATATTAGAAACATAAAAGAACCAATGATGATAATAATGATGATGATGATTATAATGATGACGAACAACGAGGATGACGACGAACGTCATGGAACTCACAGCAAAGACTAATGTTCTTTTACTAACGTGAACGCGACTTTAACAACTATAGATATATGTATGTATATATACATACATATATACATATATATATATATATGTACATACATACTTACGTGCAACATGATATCATGCGCTTCGACGGCTGATAGCAATGTAACGAGAAAATGAAATACGATCGATGTTTTACCTTAATAAAAAGAGAAAAAGAGAAAAAGAAAGACAAAGAGATAGAGAAAGAGATAGAGAAAGAGATAGAGAAAGAGAAATAAAGAGAAAGAGAAAGAAAGAGTGAAATCGATCAAAAGTATTTGAAATTCGATCGTATCGATTATATCATATATTCTTCTACGAATAATACTTTTATAATTTAATTAATTTTAATTATCTAATCGGTAGATAACATAATATGTATTTATATATATATTAGATATGTTATATAAAAAAAAGAATATATATAAAGTGATTCTTCAAAAAATCAATGTAGATTCTTATATTTTTTATCTATTTAATTCTAAGGTAAAGGAAGATAATTTATATGATTGATATAAATACAATTGATTAAATATCACATAATACTCTATATATATATATAT